TTTTTTTTCGATTACTACAAAAGGTGTTTCAAAAAATATGTTAACAACAATAGCTGCAACATAACTGAAGAAGATATGTGAAACCAAATTGTTCACTAGAATGTGTGGTTGATAGTAGAAAGGCACTGTTCGATTGAAGATAATAATATATAGAATTGTAGGATGAACAAGAAATGCAGCATAATTAAGTCGAGCGAAGGGTAACCATATAGGCCACGAGAGAATAGTATTCACTATTCCGCCTTGATTGCTACTGCACAAAAAGATAAGCCAACCAATGGCAAGAGCCCAGCCGGTGCGAGATAAACATTGATAGGTAACTAATGATGCACGACTTAGTCCAGGTTCGTTAGCATATTCACGATATACTGAGAACAGACATGTTAAGCAAATAGCAATAGCCAGAAGAGTACCAATCAGTTTTGAATAGACATTGAAACGATATGTTCTTCCCATAGTAATGAGCAGAAAGCCAGTGAGAAGACCAATAGCATAAGCAGAAATACGACACCATGGAGTAACATATATGGTATTGAAAAAGTTTGTACCAGGCTATGAAAATAAAAGAATCTTAAAATGATATCTCGAATGAAAACTCATTGAAAACATCATTAAACAGTTATATTGCGATTGTTTTAGGTGAAACTATAGTTCTATTGGACCACCTCGTTATATAAGGTTCGATATAAATTCGTCTTAGAGTATTTGAAACTTACTGCGAATTGAAATTCATCAAAAGAATTAACCGTCATATTGGGATAGTGAAGAAGAATACCAAGAATCGACATAATACCAACGAGAACAAAAATAATAGTCATCGTAAAAGCAATCCATTTTCGTCCTTTAACAAATGGTATGAGAGCTAATGGAGCAATCCAATAAAATTGCATATCATTGAAAAGATACCATGAAATAGTGAAACACATTTGACTCGGTTCAATTAAGTTGCCAATATAGAATATCGATGTCCACCAGTAATGATTGCGACAAGCTTCAGGTTCAAATCCTGTTTGAGTAGGATAAAATGGTCCATGACCAAAGTATGGTGTCAAATTGATGCTGACTGATAGAAGTAGAAGAAAAGCCGGTGTCAAACGGATATAACGATGGACATAATAGAGAACCATTAGACGAAAGGAGAGTTTTTCTTTCTTCACTTGTCGAACAAATGCAATAGTCGTTAAAAAACCGCTTATTACAAAAAATGTATCTACTGTGAATGTTGCATTGACGATTAATTGAAAGAAAATATTCTTTGTCCAAGATAAAACATCGACTACATTACTTGTGTAAGCTAGACTGTCTAAAACCGAATGACCAATGATAACCCAGAAAAGAGATAAAACACGAAGACCATTGATAAATGCAAATGAATTTTCATCTTCTTTCTTTTCCATTGTAAATATTCGACGTAAAGTGCGTAGAGCTGAAAAGTTAGCAAGGAATATTCTACGAGGTGTTGGTTCTAATAATGGCCGTTGTATCAAATCTGAATAGTGTGGCGTAGTCATCGATTTCGTCTCTAACGTTTCAACATCCGGACGAGAATCATGTCTAACAAGATTTTGATCAGATTTTAGACGTACAGTAATTATTAAATCAATGATAGTCCCGATAAGAACAAGAAGACCAAGTAAGGAGAGAATGATACACGTAGCTATGGCACCTCCAGTAAAATTTTTCTGTCCATTTGGAGGATCATTCGAACAGTCAAGGTAATCTTCAGTAATATTACTAAAGGTAAAGAATGATTGAATTAGCAATGCTACTGATTGTCGATCACATGATGAAGGAACACACATGCCAAGAGTTATGCCGTTAAATATCTCCAAAAGATCTGTTGTCGTTGATGATATGGGAAATAAAGTACCTATACAAAAAAAATTATTCATAGTGATTACATTTTGATAGATAATTATACATACAATGCTGAGTGTCGAAGGGTTGTTCAACGAATGATTTATTATCGACCAAATACATCGGTTGAACACATTCATCGTAGTTACCTGTCCAGAAAACGTTTCCTCTAAGCAAACCTGATGGTAATGGTTTTCCCCATGCATCGATTATTTTAAGTGCCCATGAATCGAATTGTAATGCTCCAGCAATGATCTTTTCAAACTCTTCTTGACACGTTGTAGTTTCATTACTGGCGCGTGAAGACAAATAGGCAGACATTCGAGAAGGTGTAATCGAATATGGAAAATCGACGAGTAGCTCAGATTTTAAATGTTGAAAATGTCGAATTCGATTTATTATCGAATTGAATTGAAGAGGAAATGTTTGGTGCTTCGATTGACATATACTGTTATGTAATGAAAGCAAAAGTAGTAACAATATAAAAACGCCCATCTTGAAATAGAATCATATGATGCAGTTATACAACACTTTATATAGAGTTATGATATGCCGATAAGAACATATATGTCTCTTTGCTGTTGTTATTTTTTTTTTAAAGTTATCATTGTTTATCGCTTTCTTTTTCTTGCTTTACATCATATGAATACAACTTTAGAACAACCCATCATCATATGATTCGTTACTTATTCTGGAGTGCAAAGACCGCGCTGCTTTTCATTATTTATCTATATTTTTATAAATTCCTGATCTCTTTTTTATCCTTAGATGCATACTTTGGAACCATACCATTAATTTGTCCTTCTTTCCCACATTTATATGTGTTTACTATTGTTACTGACTATACAGAAAATTCTGAAAATGTATGTTTAGTAGATTTGGAACGTTACAGATATGATTTTTCCAAGCAAATGTTGAGATTGCCAGAGTTCGAAAAATCA